AAACGAAAAAGATATCTCCCTTTAAATTTAATTAAAAATATTCATGATTAGTAACAAACTAAAAATGTTTCAACCAACGTAGTCAAAATCATACTTTAAAATTTAAAAGATTATGCTTTTAGATTTTGAATAACACGATTAATCTAATGTTTCTTTGTAAAAAATTGAATTCTAACTTCAAACGAAAAAGATATCTCCCTTTAAATTTAATTAAAAATATTCATGATTAGTAACAAACTAAAAATGTTTCAGCCAATGTAGTCAAAATCATACTTTAAAATTTAAAAGATTATGCTTTTAGATTTTTATGTTACCAAAATACTTTTATATAGAATTGCACATTTCACTTATAAAAATAGTCAAAATGCACGCTTTAAAGTTTAAAAGCTTATACTCACCAAAATATTTATACGTAGAATCGTCATTTTAACTCAATTAGTTTATAGCTACTGTTTTTTCTCCCATTAAACTACTCCCACAACAATTAGAGAATCCGGCAACAAAATATGTATTGCATAAAGTTTATGGATGGGATAATTATTTCCATTTAGTTGTATTTGCAACATTGACTTTAAGTAACTTGTTTTAATATTCAATATCAATATAACTGAATCGCCCCAAAAAAAAAAAAATTCAATATAACTAAAAGAACATGCATTGGTGGTTTGAATAATATCTGTAAACAAAAGAAGCATCTTGGACCGATACTAGTTTTAGAAAAGATGTGGCAATTCATATTGTCACTCTCTTCTAAACTTGACATTCTCAAATTCCAACAAAAAGTATCGCAATCTCAAGTTTTCACATACCAATATGCGATATTTTTACTGTCGAATGGAACATCCCTATTCAAAATTGCATCATTATAAATCAATTGGGCCAAAATTGTGTCCTCCAAATGCTTCATGGAGCAAACCTTCCAAAGAAATCTTATTACATCTCTCCAAACAGTTCGAAGTTATTTGTAATTAGTACCAATGTCGTGTCAGTAAAGTCCAGCATTTATGGTGATCATGAAGCTCGCAGAGAAGCAATGGAGCTTCTGCTTTCAAATCATCTCGACAAGAAACCGAAAACCCTATCACCATTTCTGGTATAGAGAAAGCACGAAAAGTGGCTTTTGATTTATATCGTTCTTTCTGCCTTCCTCCCTTGTCCTCCTATACAGTGGTCCCTTCCATTCTATTGCACTCCCTAGCTAGAATGAAAACCCAAAGAGAAAGTCATCGCCCGAACTACTCAGCTAGTCACTGTCTCATCTCATCATTATTATCTCAACGTTACACCAAAATGGGGGACACATTTTTTGAGCTCGTCGAGAAAGCTAGAGGCTCCTGTTTTCGAGAGTCCACGGCTGGCCACCGCCAATTCCATGCAAAACGTGGGGGTTTGGAAGAGAGCATTTATGAAACCCAAACTCTGGCTAATGAAAGAAAGCTAGAATAGAGTTGAATTTGGAAGCCACACCAACGTTCGTGCAAGAAGAAAGGGGTTGGGAAAAGAGAGAGAGAGAGAGAGAGAGAGAGAGAGAGAGAGAGAGAGAGAGAGAGAGAGAGAGAGAGAGAGAGAGAGAGAGAGAGAGAGAGAGAGAGAGAGGGATGAATGCAAAAGAGATCGATCGATAGAGGTAATAACTCCATCTTGTCTTTGTGGTATTTGTGCATGCATGCTTCAGAAAGAAAAGAAAAAAAAAGGACACAATGCCATGCCATGCCTCGTCTGTTTATGGGAATGACGTACGGTTTTGGATCTATGATCTGCTGCTGCTGCTGCGGTATGTGACGTCTGTGTGAGGCTGCAACGACGGTGGGGATTATCATGCTACAACTGATCATCACCGGTAAGTGACGGAATTGAATACATGCACGCGGGACCACTTCACGGCATTTCGTTTCTTGCGCGCAGGGGAGTCATATCTCATATGGGATAATTGGGAATGTAAGGGTGTGGTTAGCATATTGCAAATTAGGATGCATGGCAATATTGGCCCGGTCCGCGGGTTGGACCTGGTCTAATAAATCGTTTTGGCCAGGTCAATCCAACTCATCCTTGATGGGGTGGGTCTTGGTTCGACCCGCTCACAATCGAGCTAGGTCATGTCTGGGTACAACCTCAACCTGACTCAAACCCACCCTGCCTCGGTAAATACAATCTATTATATATATATTTCGAAGATCTGACCAGTGCTTCTAAATATAACAATAACTTTAATTAATTAATAGCAAAAAGTTAATCCACTGTTCGGGTAAATTGCAAATTTGGTCACTGAAATTGTTAAATAATTTTATGTTTGTCACTATAATTACCTTATTTCATTTGTGGTCACTAACTTTACACTATCGTTTCCTCAATGCTTACTCTCCGTCCATTTCTGTTAACTCCGTCCTACGTGGCAGTCAAGTCTTATAGTTGACCGTTAAATGTGTGCGTGACAATTAAACAAATTGATATTTTAAAATTTCCACATCATTTATCACAATCATAAAAAAAATAAAAAAAATTTGTATATAACCACCATAGCCTACCTGACCCAACTTCTTCCCTTCAGCTTCCCCTCGAACACCCACATCACGGGACAACCGAGGGTCGAGAAACGTCATCCGCCACCCGGCTACTTCCTTCGACGGCATCCAGAACCTCCAATTTCCCTCTTCACCGGGCCGCAAAACCACGAAGCCTCAAAACCACCTCCCTTGTCAACCTCGCCGAAAATCCCACGAAATACGACAAGCTATAACTGTCGCCGTTGAACTTCCTCCTCTTCTTCCGCGACCAAGCCGAGGTATCATACGTCTCCTCGATAAAGCTCCAGCTCAGCCTGTCATAAGCCTTGGCCAGGTCTAGCTTCACCACCATCTGTCCCCTACGCCCCTTTTTAAGCCCCATCGAATGGACCACCTCCTGCAGGATTATGATATTACTCGAGATGCTTCTGCCAGGGACAAAACTGGCTTGAGTCGGATGCACTAGTTTTCGCATAAAAGGTTTGAAGACGCAAATCCACCAGCCATGTCAACATCACCGAAAATCCCACGAAATACGACAAGCTATAACTGTCGCCGTTGAACTTCCTCCTCTTCTTCCACGACCAAGCTGAGGTATCATCCGATTCCTCGAGTTTACACTGCTTAAGACTTGGCATCCGCTTGATTATCATCCCTCCACGTTGTCCGCCACCGCGACAGAGCATCAGTGAGGAAAAAAGCACAAAGAGAGCGAGAGAGTACTATCAATCTTCGACACACAAACCAAATTCAACAATCCGACATTTCCAGATTCGAATGAGTTAGAGGAACATACCTCCTCCCCCTCTAAACTGATCGACGATTGGGACTGTTGTCGAGGAGTCTATAGCCAGCTGTCGGCCGGGAAAATCAGTGCGATGATAATCAGTTCGATGTAAATTGTTCAACTTTTTTTGGTAATTGGGGGAATCAAGACTGTGGTGCACAGAAGTGTCCTGGTTGTCACCCGGTGAAGAGGGAAAATTGAAGTTTTGGATGCCGTCAGAGGCAGTAGCCGGGCGGCGGATGAGGTTTCCCGACCCCCAGTTGTCTAGTCGAGGTGGGTGTCCCACGGGAAGCTGATGGGAAGAGGTTGGGTCGGGTAGGGTATGCGGGTTATAAGAAATTAGTTTTTATTTTTTAATCATTGTGATAATGATGTAAAAATTTTAAAAGATTAAATTTTTATTTATCTTTTATTTTTTAATTGTCATGTCACACATTGTCACATAGGATAAAGTTAACGAAAATGGACGGAGAGTGACCATTTATGAAATGATACTATAAAGTTAGTGACCGTTAATGGAATAAAGTAATTTAAGTAACAAACATGAAATTGTTTAGTAATTCTAGTGACCAAACTTGCAATTTAGCGTCCACGGTTCATTACGATAAAATAGGGCTATTGGAATGGTAAGTTCTTTTACATGGTGAAAAAACAAAAAACAAAACCTCCCAACCTCTCACAAAATTGATCATAACATCTCAAAAATCAGTATTCGTTATGGGATATGCTGAAGGGTGGACTTCTACATGGTAATATATATACGTTATTTGATAAATAAAGCATAATTACTATTTTAATTTGTAGGTCGAATTTAGCTACTTTCTGTAACTTGATTTTATTAGTATATCACAGAATATGAAAGAATTGTGAAACACTATTTTATTATTAGACCACATAGTAGGAAAGATTTGCTTAAGGCACTATATAAAACTTATGTGAGATAAACTTACTAAGATATAGTTATTTCTTATATATCAGTTAAAAAACATATACACATGTCTTTCTTAATATAAATTTGAGTGAAATTCATTTATTTATAAATAAAATGTTAAACATCTCATCAATTGGCAGTACACAAAGGTTTTGTAAGTTGAATGATTTTTTACATAACATTTTAATTAAATGTGATAATTTCATAACTTAATTCTTTTATTATTAACTGGAATTACTTCATTATTAACTAAAATATTCATTACTAATTTTTTTTTGTCAAAGTGCAATATTAATATTGTATTCATTTAGATTATTGAGTTATTGCAATCGTATGACTTAACAAACCACTCATTTTGAAATCAAAATTCAAATCGATCACAAATTAAATGTGCCAAAGTTTTACTCAGTAGTGGAAAATAACAATTTTTTTTAAATGGATGCAACGCATCTCAGCCTTCATTCAAAACCAAACGGGGTTCAGAGATCCCCTGACTGTCATACAAAAGCCAATAATGTAAAGCAGGATCGAAAACAGAAACACAGTGGGTGCCTAAGGGCATAGAATGCCCGCGGTTTGCAAGAAAATCAGCACACTTGTTACCCTCGGGATAGATGTGACGTAACGTCACCTCCCAATCAAGCTGGAGGAGCTCGGAAAACCTCTGGATGATGGTTGCATCTTGATGATCCGACATGTCCTACGATGAGAGGAGTTGAACTGCACACTAAGAATCCAACTCCACTCTAATTCGTCGATGTCCGAGGTTCCAAGCCAACTAAAGACCCTCCACAACGCCTCTCAACTCTGCCCGGGTAATGGAACACATACCCAGGTTGCTAGTGAATGCTGCCAAGCAACATCCTGTATGATCTCGTAGCAAACCACCTACAGCAGCGTGGTTTGTCTCAGTATGAATGGAGCCATCCGTGTTGAGAGAAACCCCCTCGGGAGGTGGTGGCTACCATGAGATCTCCACCTCCGTTCTTATGGGTTGGCTAGGCATATGGGTAAGCCTGTCCTTGCCCATGGCATTCCGCTCCTCATTTATCCATGTCAGGACGCTTTGTAGAAAGTCATAAGTTGAAATGATCTTGCCCGCGAAGACTCGATCATTCTTGGTCTTCCAAAGATACCAACAGGTAATGCCAAACTCAAGGCAGTGATGTTGATTCTTGATGTTGGCCAGGAGCCAATCCTGCAGATTCATTCTGAAAAATGTTTGGTGGTCAGAAGGCTGGATGAGATGCAACCAAGTTAACCTGGAAAAGTGATAGTCCCGCAACACATGCAGGGCTGTCTCTGGAGCTTCTCGGCAGTACGTGCACATGTTGTCTCCCGTCAAATGTCTCCGCTGTCGTTCGCTGTTAGTGAGTAAACGATCTTTGGCTTCTAACCAGAGGAAGAGGTTGACGCGCGCAGAGCCTCTCCACCGCCAGAAGGTCTTCCAATCCAGAGTTGGTGCTGACTCGTCGAGTTCTGCTGCGATTCGGTACGCGGACTTAACGCGAAATCGGCCGTCACTCTCGGGTCCACAGACTGCGAGGTCCTCCCCCAAGTCAGTCTTAGGCGGTTGGATGCCCACTACCTGCAAAACCATATCATTAGGAAGAAAGGTTTGTATGAGGGGAGTGTTCCCCTCACCACTCGGCAGAATAAAGTCTGCCACTTCCTGGGAAGGATCGATGGTTTGGGCGGATTCCTGAATATGATCAATCAATCGTTCTCCGCTGTCAAGCCATCTATCCGTCCAGAAGTTAGTAAGCCTCTCATTCTTTATGCTCATCCTCATCCCTGTAGCCATGATCGGCCAAGCTTTCCGCATCCCCCTCCATAGATTCGATGCTTGCGCCATTTATTTAGCCTGAAGGGCCCCTCCCGCCGTTTTAAAGTATTTGGCCTGCAAAACACGCACCCACAACTCTTCTAATTTTTTAACAAACAACCAGGTTGGCTTGGTTAGAAAAGCCAAATTCATTTCATGAGCCTTTCTGAGACCCATCCCACCTGCTTCCTTCGGCTTACATAGGCCTTCCCAAAGAACCAAATGTATTTTCTGTCCAGCTTCCGTTGAACCCCAGATGAAACTGCTTATTTTTCTTGTCAATCTGATCGCAGATTGCCTGGGGTAACAGCGTGGTCTGAATCGCATAGGCAGGGAGGGAGATGAGGACGGATATCGAGAGCGTGACGCGCCCAGCAAGGCTCCGATTCTTCGCCCTTCAACCTGCCAATTTGTTATCCAACCGATCAAGTATATACGTGTATGTTACCTTTGTCACCCTACCGTGCAAAACTGGCACACCCAAATACCTCCCAAGGTCTTGTGTAGCTTGGATACCCAGTACTTGAGAGATTGTCTGGATCTCCGGTCGCCGCGTGTTGGGGGAGAAGAACACAACTGATTTATCCTTGCTGACCTGCTGCCCAGACGCCAAGCAGAAACGATCCAAGCAGTCCAACATGATTCGTGTCTGAGATTCAGTTGCTTCTGGAAAAAAATGAGATCGTCAGCGAAGAAAAGATGGGATAGGGGTGGGCCACCTGGATTCGTCCTGATTGGCCTCCATTTACCAGACTCCACCTCCTTCTCGATTAAATGACTCAGCCGCTCCATGCATAAGGTGAAGATATATGGAGAAAGCGGGCAGCCTTGCCGTAGACGCCAGGAAGGAGAAAACGACTCAGTGCAGTTACCGTTCCAAAGTACTTGCATGGAGGACAAAGTGATACATTGCATGATGACCGCCAAGAACTTTTCCGGGAAACCTGCTGCCCCCAACGTCTCCTGGATAAAGCTCCAGCTCAGCCTGTCATAAGCCTTGGCCAGGTCCAGCTTCACCACCATCCGTCCCCTACGCCCCTTTTTAATCCCCATCGAATGGACCACCTCCTGCAGGATTATGATATTACTCAAGATGCTTCTGCCAGGAAAAAACTGGCTTGAGCCGGATGCACTAGTTTCCGCATAAAAGGTTTGAAGCCGCAAATCCACCTGCCCTGTCAACATCACCGAAAATCCCACAAAATATGACAAGCTATAACTGTCGCCGTTGAACTTCCTCCTCTTCTTCCATGACCAAGCCGAGGTATCATTCGGCTCACTCCGATTCCTCGAGTTTACACTGCTTGAGACTTGACATCCGCTTGATTATCATCCCTCCACGTCATCCGCTACCGCGACAGAGCATCAGTGAGGAAAAAGAGCACAAAGAGAGTGAAAGAGTACTATCAATCTTCGACACACAAACCAAATTCAAGAATCGGGCGTTCGAGCTCTCTACCAAGAAGCTTTTTACTTCTCGTGATGTGATATTTGAGAAGACTATCTTCCCATTTCATTCGCTTTCCACCGACATTCAACCATTCGTTGGCCCTGGTTCCCTCGCGAGTCCTTCCTCGCCAGTACCTGATGACGATGAGGACCCGCCTACAGCTGCCGATGCTAGTTCTCGTGCAAGTGGTGATCCTCCCACTTCGCTCCTGCAACCGGCTTCCCCAGCCGCTTCTACTCCTCCTGGCACCTTGACAAACTCCGCAGGTTTCCCATCTTCGGCGGACACCACTTCCTCGACTTCTCCTGCTATCGTGGTTCCCCCAGCAGCTCCCAGCGACGTGCCACTCCGCCGTAGTGAGCGAACTCGCCAGCCTTTAGGTCGCCTTCGAGGTTATGACACTTACCTTCCCTCAATTCACACGGCTACTACTGCTAAGTATCTGTTATCTACTTATGTTACCTTCACCAGACTTTCGGCTAATCATAAGGTTTTTGTGGCAGCTATTGATACTCTAGTTGAGCCACAATTTTTCCATGATGCCGTCAAGTATGCTTGCTGGATCGAGGCCATGCAACGTGAGATCGACGCCTTGGAAGCTAATGGCACTTGGGTGCTCGAGGACATACCTCCTAACAAGAAAGCCATTGCCGCCAAATGGGTGTACAAGATCAAGTTTCACCCAGATGGCACCGTCGAGCGCTACAAAGCTCGTCTCGTTGCAAAGGGGTTTACTCAAGTCGAAGGTGTTGACTATCACGACACTTTCGCTCCGGTGACCAAGTTGGTGACCGTTCGCTGTGTGCTTGCTGTTGCAGCTCATCGTGATTGGCATCTCCATCAGTTAGATGTCAACAACGCCTTCCTACATGTTGATCTTCATGAAGAAGTCTACATGCAGCTTCCACCGGGATTTGCTCGACCGGGGGACAACCGGGTTTGTCGTCTTCGCAAATCCATATATGGTTTGAAGCAAGCCTCTCGGAATTGGTACATGAAATTCACTACTTCTCTTCAGCAATTTGGCTTTCAGCAGTCTAAGGCTGATCATTACCTGTTTACATATCGGCATGGTAGCGCATTTGTGTTTGCTTTGATCTACGTGGATGATATCATCTTAGGTGGAGATGACATTACTATCATTCAACGTGTCAAAGATTTTCTGCATCGCCAGTTTAGCATCAAGGACTTGGGTGTTCTGAAGTACTTTTTGGGAATCGAGGTGGCGCGTTCCCGCCGTGGCCTGGTCTTGTCTCAACGGAAGTATACGTTGGATATATTGAAGGATGCAGGTGCTCTTGCTGCTAAACCTTGTGCCTTTCCCATTGAGCAGAACCATCATCTCACTCGGATTGAAGGTCTTGCAGCTAAAGATCCTTCAGGATTCCGACGACTAGTGGGGCGTCTGCAGTACCTCACGGTTACTCGGCCCGACATAGTGTATGCAGTTAATATCCTTAGTCGGGCGGTGCATTCTCCTCGTCAAGAGCATGATGACGCACCATTCCGTGTGCTTCGTTACCTAAAAGGAGCTCCGGGTCGGGGTCTGTTGTTTCCCACAAATGGCCATCTTCAACTCACGGCCTACTGTGATGCTGATTGGGGCGGGTGTCAGCGTACTCGCCGTTCTACCTCTGGTTACTTCATTCATCTCGGTAATTGTCTTGTGTCCTGGAGAACTAAAAAGCAGTCTATGGTTGCTCGTTCCTCAGCGAAGCAGAATACCGCGCTATGGCGAGTACAGTCAGTGAAATCGTCTGGCTCCGATGGCTTCTTAGTGAGTTGGGTGTTACCTTTTCTTCGCCAACTCCGCTACATTGTGATAATCAGGCATCACTGCATATTGCTGCCAACCCAGTGTTTCACGAACGTACGAAGCATGTTGAGATGGACTGCTACTTCGTTCGTGAGCGTGTTACTTCCGGAGAGATAGTTCCCCAGAAGGTTTCTTCACAGGAGCAAGTTGCAGACATGTTTACTAAGGGGTTAGGTGCGGAGCAGTTCCAGTACTTGACTTCCAAGCTTGGCCTTCACGATATTCATGCCTCCGCCTGAGGGACGTGTTGTGGAGCACGTACGTGTGCATGAGTGTGGAACACATACTGCTTGTCATTCTTTGTTTAGTTTTGTTTGCTTGGTGAGTTGTTTAGTTATTTACCATTCCTTGTGGCCACTGTAAAAGGAATTGGTGACCTATATAAGGCTGTGTTATCAGTCGAGTAGGGTAAGCAGCTGCATGTGAAAAACCCTAATAATATATCCGTCGAAGACTCCTTGAGAGGGTCTTCCGTGGATTAGTCTCGTTCGTTGGAACGAGGATACCACGTAAATCGTTGTGTCTTGTGCATCGTACCTCTTACTTTTCTCAAATAGTGTAGGTGGCTGGGGGCTTCTATTAGTATCGGTACTATTTAATTGCTTCTCGTGTCCTTATTTGATATCAGAACCTTTCTAATACTGGAATACTGCTCAAGCATTGATAATAAGGTCATGACTCATGACAAGTTGACAACCAAGTCGACTGATTATGTCAATAGTGACCCATCTTTATTCATATTATCAATGGCAGATATTAACTCGTTAGACTTCAAGTAACTGTAATTTACAGTTCTTAAAATCACCGTACCAAACTCCCTAAAATCATGCGCTCACAACATGAGCAGACCGAGAACAAACTCGTTGATTTCACTTTATTCTGCTTATATATGTTCTGTCGGTTGTCCGCCAATGTAATAATACCCAACATATAATAATGCGTAACCTGCTGGGTAAGCTGGAAAACTTAATTAAGGGAGACATCTAATATAAGTGAAGAAATGTAAAGACAAAAATAAAGTATAGGAATTTATCTATCGATCCATATTTATTTATATAATTGTTGACCATTATAAAATTTAATATGGCTCTCGGGATCCAGTGACTTCTGACTCTGGCCATATTTTCCCATTTCAGGAGAGGTCCTACACGTGCAATCCTTTAAACCTTTGGTACTGCACTACTGCTTCGAGATAAGGCAGGGCTTCATCAATGATAACAATTATATACAAATATAATTCCATACAAAGTGACTTATAAAAAACAAAGTTATGGACATGATAAGAAGATAAAAAAAAGATATCAGAAAAAGAGACACAAGAAGAATGATCAGTCAAAGAACCCCATTAGCATTCTTTCTATAGTCGAAATACATTTACCCGTATAGGGTTATAGATATAATATGCCCTTCTACTATGACGTTTTATCAAACATGCCTCTCTACAATTTTTACATCAAACATGCCTCTGTACTTTGAAAAAATTATCAAACATGCCCTTCTGTTAAGATTTCCATTGATAAAATAGTCAATCATGGTTGAACCGAGATTTAGACGACCCAACAACGGCAAATGGGAGCGAAAATGTCATTTTTTTCTCCCGTTTTATTTCTCTGGGTCTCTTCAAAGTGAAATTATTTGAATTATTTGGCTATAAAAAAGAACAAAAAAAATTCTAAAGTGAAATTATTAGGGATGTTTTAGACATTTGTGCCGCCCAAACCAAAGTTCGACCTTGGTTAACGGTTTTTGGATGAAAATTTAAACAAAATGGCATGTTTGATCATTTTCACAAAGTACAGGGCATGTTTGATGTAAAAAATAGTATAAGGGCATCTTTGATAAAACGTCATAGTAGAGGGGCATATTATACCTATAACCCACCCGTATATGGTCATTCGATACCAATTGATTCTAGTGATTAATATATTGGTAAGGCTTTCAAGATCTAGTGCTCTCATATTCGCTCGTTTGAAATCACCAATAACTAATTGGTATCAATAAATCGAATTGTTGGCAGAAATTCAATTATGAATATATACCACATAGTAACACACCTCACCATATATATAGATTTGAAGTTTGCATAGTTCTAGATATCATGTGTTTAACAAATGAGGTCGTCGAGATTCGAACATAAGACATTTTGTTTACCAAAAATACTGATACCATATCAAAAACCAGTTGGTCTTAAATAGTCCTATACCACTATTGCTAACACAATAATCATCGAGTCATAATACAGTAGCTAACACATTGTTAATGCATCAACCATACAAGTCTCTATGATTTATTCTTTGCTTTTTAAAGTTGTTGTTAGAGAGTGGTATAAGATCCAACATAACTTTCTCCCAAAACTCGAGTTATTGGGATTGACTGGTTTTTGACATGGTATCAGAGCTGGTTTGGCCAAATGACTGTGTGTTCGAATCTCCACAACCCCAAATATTAACAGTTGATTAAAGCACAAGGTATGGTAGGCCTGTGTAAATTTCAAGCTCATGAGTTGGTATAAGATCCAGTATAATCTTCTCCAAACAACTCGAGTTATTGGAATCAATTGGTTCTTTGTATAAACTGCTACATCAATAACATTCACACCAACGAGTCAGAGTAATTATGATTAACCTTTTTTATCATTTAAGGACACACACTTCATTCATTTTTTCTTTTCAATGAAACAGTAAACAACTGGATGACGCATCATGAGACCGGTAAAGCCCTTTTCGCCCTTTGCATCCCCCGAAGATTTGTGCTGTCGCTGTTGTTGTTGATGAGGCATATTGGAAATGAACAGATCTCGAGTAGTCATGCATTCACTTGCATGAAAACCGAAAGTCTCCACTTTCTCTTCTCTTCTGTATTGGGTTTGCAACAGGCAGGAAGTATAATAAAGTCAATTATTACCAGCTAGCTGTTGAATGCTGCTGCGGCTGGCTGGATGTACCAGAAGAAGGGTAGAAAATCATGCAGTTTCGTCTCTTCTCGTGCTTGTGTAGTTTGTGTACTTATTAGGTTATTAGCTTGTTTTGTTGTTCTTGGTGGTAGCCTTGGCTACATATAAAAGAGAAGAGGAGAGAGATATAGGGTCATCATCAATCGGGCAAATGAAGCTCCTAATCCTCTCCTTGAGAAGTGTGCCATCAAGAGAGGGAGCAGCAACCACTATTCCACTTCTCTAAAGTGAGACCACCAAATTTTTTTTTTTTCTCTCTTGTGTATAAGGCCATTGTTTTCTAGGACTAAAGTTTGAGAGACTTTTGGGGTAGACCCTTTTAATGTCCATATGCATGTGATGGATGATGATCAACTTGGTGGGCAATACTACTGTCTACCCTTGGAAGGGAACTCCATGATTAAAACAAGGTTTATTACAGTTGTTTGGCCTGAAACCCTAATCAGTTACTTTTTTTTTATATATAACTAGAGAGGGAGTGGGAAATTTTTATTTTTGAGGGAAACCCATTTTTGTTACATGACAGCTAGTGTTAAAGAAAGGGTCTTTTTTAGTGGTTAGCTTTTTTTTTACTTTAGAATAAACAAGTTAGAAAAAAATTAATACCAGAGTGTGGGAAGAAAAGGGAGGTGAATGGTGATTGCTGTTTCTCTGACAGATGCCATGGGACTGTGTGGGGTATCTGTTTGATCATATATGGCTTCCTTTCTGTAAGCCTGAAAGAATTCCCTCCCTCAAGATCTGGTAATAATTCTCTCAGTAGTAAGAATTTTGCAGGCCAAAGCTTGCCAGTAGCAAGAAGAGCACCAATTTCTTTTTTTATTTGTTTTTTTTTTTGGAAAGGAAATGACAGAATAGGGAAAGGAGGTTGTGGGCCCAAGGGGAGGTGGGTAATAAAGGAAAGAAAGGTGGAGAGTAGAGGGTGGCTGAAAATGGGTTGATGCACTGCACCGTATGGATCCCTTTTTTGGGTCTCGACCTTGTGGTTTGTGGGGGCTTATTCTGTGAAAACGTCCCACTGCCTTTTTCCACCATCTCATCTTCTGATCTTCTCATCTTCACCAACATCATCTCCTCCTCCACTTTTGTTCTCTTTCAGATTCAGATTTTATCATCACTTGTATAGTTGTATTGTATCTTATCAGATCGATCAATGGTTGAGATTTTAAGAGAATATTGTTATACTAATACTAAGGCGCGAGTTAGTTTGCCAATCCATAAACATTATATGGGCCGAGTTAGTGTGCCTATCCAGTTTTCAAAAAAAATTTGGTTTATACTGACAGACAGGTGTTCTTTTTCATTCCAAAATTGTTTCGAATTTATTGGTTTAGGTTGAAATTTAAAAATCCACAAAAAAATTGCAAAAACCACCAGTTCCATTATTTTAAGTCTTTGATGAACCCTCCCTAAACCAACTCTTAGTTAGTCGATCTGTTTGTAAGAACATCTCCAATCTCGTTCAAGTATTACTCTATTTTCCTCAATACATTAAATGACAAGAGTTCATGAAAACAATTGGTAAATATGTTAAAAAAAAAAACGTTACCATACCATCCTAGATGTAAACCAACATTCTAGTCAAATATATATTGCTCGTAACACTCCAAGAAACTACGTGACAATTTCTTTGGCCTCATCCCAATAATTTAAATAGCTGTAAAAAAAAAAATTCCTTTGTTTTTCATATCCTGTTCAATGTCATAAAATTTAAATCGAAATACATAGATGAGACACTTCCTCTGTCAACCCTCCCTCCCAAACTTTTGCATCCAATAATAATCAACAAAATACATTTCTTTTTTTCTCTCATAAAGTAAATGGGAGAACTCAAGTTGGTAGCTATTTAAAGCCTTCCCCCGTAGCTTTCCAATCCTCGCTATCTCATCGCTCTCTCTGCAACAAAAGCAAAAGAAAACACCGCTGCGCTGAATTCGGTGATGGGTCTTCTGATGAGCAGCAGCTGATCTCTCTCCTTACTTATCCCTGCGCTCCCTTCACCATTTTCTTCCCCAACCCATAACCCTAAAAAGAAGCACTCCATCGCTCTTCATCTCTCCTTCCCCCCATACCATTTTCCCTTTCCCCTTCTCGCCATGGACGTTGACCTCATGACTCATCACCACAACACCTCATCCTCATCGTCCACCACATCCAACGACCACCACCACCACCTCGACATGATCTCCATGATGTTCCAAAACGACGTCGTCCTCCCACCACCATTTATACCCTCCACCGCCGGCACTCCCACTCCCTTCCCCGACCCCAACTTCTTCCTCAAGCACCCTCCTCCTCCGGCAACCGTGGAGAGGAGGAACTCGACGGCGGCGATACGGGAGATGATCTTCCGGATCGCGGCCATGCAGCCCATCCACATCGACCCGGACTCCGTCAAGCCACCCAAGCGCCGCAACGTCCGCATCTCCAAGGACCCGCAGAGCGTGGCGGCCAGGCACCGCCGGGAGCGGATCAGCGAGCGGATCCGGATCCTCCAGCGGCTGGTCCCCGGCGGGACCAAGATGGACACCGCCTCCATGCTCGACGAGGCCATCCACTACGTCAAGTTCCTCAAGAAGCAGGTCCAGTCCCTCGAGCAGGCCGGCGCCAGTGCAACTCGGCCTCCGGTGGCGTTTGGCGGTGGGTTCCCGTTCTCTCCTGCGGCGGCGGGGTTTGGTGGCGGTGGTGCGGCGGCGGTGAAGAATGGGGGTTGTGGTCAGCCGTCTCCTTCGGCGGCCTATGGGAATCATCATCACCATCATGGTGTGATGCTTGGATCGATGCAAATGCTTTGAGGGTTAACTCATTTTGATCTTTCGCCCTTCGTTAGTTTTTTTCGTAACAATAATACATTTATAGGATGATGATGGTGATGATAACGTACGGCTTATGAATTAAGGTGTATCGGGGCTGATTATCGTGTAAATTAGGGTAATTAGTGTTCTCTCTTTCGAGTTTCAGTTTGTAATTGTTGGGAAACGATTGTTTTGTAATGCATGGATGGGTAGTTAATTATATATATGATCAGTTTGCTAAGCTTTAATGTGAATGCACTGTTCTATATATTCATTAGTGGCTAGGTTTTTGCTTTTTGGTGGGGGCGTGAACAGTAGCTTGATTGGATAGTTAAGATCGTTGTAAAGAATGCAAAGAGAGATCGATCGTACGTGTGAGTTTAGCAAAAGGAAGTGATGGGCATGCAATGAAGTCATTAAATATCAGCGTACGTAAAGCAAAAGAGGATGAAATAAAAAGTCATTGCTAAGTACGATCAATATTCAATAAATTAAGCTGTACGTCGGTTCCATCTATATGTTGTTACGATAAATTGCTTATATTATTGTTAATTCTCTGAAGATAATGAATTCACTAAACCACCGCCAGCAAGATCAGAGGGAGGAGACTCCTTCAAAGTTTCTTGCACGTACGGCGACTCCTTGAGAAAACTCATCAAGATCAGCGGTACTACTCTTGCATCACAAGTTCACAAACAGACATTTCTACTTAGAAGCTATTTCCACAATTTATTTACTAGGTAAAGCTTTAATGCAGGAAACTTTAACTTACAGAATTTCATCAAGGGTTTGGCATGGTAATAACGTACAAAAATGTTAACATATATTATACGTTATAATTCAAATCTAGCTTGAAGCCAACAATCACTATACAAAGATGTTAACATCTATCTTACTTTAGATTCAAATCAAGCTTGGAGCCAACAATCACCATTAATTAATATATATATAAACATGAAGTAGGTTTAGTGTTCACAAAAAAAATTATATAATGTACGTATTATATTTTGATATCCAAAATTTAATTTTTTTTTATGTAAAATCATTGGAAAATGTTTTGGTACCTAAATATTATGAGATTTTCTTACCTATAATTTTTTAAATTTATATATTGGTCCAATGTTTAGATTCCACTTGAATTCATGAATCCAATCCACCAATCCTTTTGAAACAATTCATGAATCAAATTCATCATATCATAAAAGTTTAAATTTAATTTGTATAATACAAGATGTTGTATCATTCAACTCTAGAAGAAGATTCGACCATTTTATATTTGTTCATTACGTGAACTATTAAATAAATGATAAAAAAGAGACGACTCTAAAATATCACTACAACAAATTTATAAACTCATTTAGCACATTTACGGCATACTATACAAACCAGTGGCGGAGGCAGGGCCTTTTGGCCTTGTCCCGGGACAGGGGTAAATTTCGGTGGAACAAAAATACGCCATATATATTTATATTGGTGATGGAACACAACACGTATAGGTAGTATTAAAGTATTTTGTCACTACAACACAACTCATTACTTGTCCAAAATTGACATAAAATTAATTTATTATACAATAAACGAAATTCCAATTGCAATAAAGACCTAATCGGGTCTCTTTTCTCCTTATGCCTATTCTATCTTTCCCCAACAACCCTGAAATTGTCTAGCGACAATGACAATCTCACTAGTTTTGATCTACCAATTACAACTGCAAGTGCAAAAAGAGCATTTTCAGCTTTGAGTTATATTAAGAACAAGTTTCCAAGTCGATTTGGCGACCAGGTTGCTAATACTTGTTTAGTAAGATACGATGAAAGAGACTTATATAATAGTGTAGACAACGAATGTTTTTGCATTTCTTTCACTTATATGAAATTCCTTCATAGTTGTTTCTAAAAAGTATGATAGGTTATTTTTAATTTATGAATGAATTATTTGGATATAATTATTTTTTATTAAATAATTCTTTTATTAGATACTTATATATTTAAATTATGAAAAGAGGACAGGGGTGGTTTAAAATGTTGCCTCCGTCACTTATACAAACTTGTACTATAGGAATCCATAGAAGAAGAGCAATACAGTTAATAGGGAAGAAACACAAGAATACATACACCCTGAACTAAAAAATGCATACAAGAAACTAAGAAGGGCATGCAAGTATTGAACGATGTGATTTGGTTGCTAAAACATTTTATTGAAGTGCATCTCATATTGAATATCATAATTAATATAATTTTTCTATACAAAGCATTTGTAATCCAAATTAAATAGAATATATATGATCCATTAATAAATAATAGAAATTTAATTATCGAAAAAAATTAGATAAATTTCATCATTAAATTAATATAATTGGTCATATTTATTTTAGCACGATAACACAATTTTACAGTGTTATTATGTTATTCCATGATTCAGAATAATACATATGTCATAAACCAGTTGGTTCCAATAACTCGAGTTATTGGGAGATGTTCAATAATGGATCTTATTATGTCACATACTAACACGTCACCTAAAATGAAAGTCACTCATATAGGCTTGAAATTAGCACATGCATCAGACACCATGTGCTTACCAATGGCGGTTACCGAGATTCGAATAGAACATCACTCAATCCCGGTTGGCATGAAAGAGAGTGATATATGGTCCATAATTAACTTTCCTGGCATAACTCGAAGTTATTGGGAAAACAGGCTTATGACATGATATAAAAGCTGATTTGACCAAGTTATTGTGTGTTCGATTCTCCACGACCCCAATATTAATAATTTTTTAAAGCACGAGGTATAGTGAACATGTACAAACTTCAAGTTATGAATTGAATTTTTTTAAAAAGTGTGTAAGAAAATGGTATATGATACATAATTACCCTATTTTAACCAATTGATAACAACTGGTTAACAATCTATTACTCATCCCAACTTACCATACTTAAACATTGTTAAGAGAAAAGGAGCAAATTTGTTGTCTCCAAAATAAGGGATTTAGGGGCTCCAGTTGATTGAGGATGGGCAGGTAGGCTGCCTCCCAAGGCAGGGTCGAACTATACTGGTGTTCATGTCTCAAGGATCATGCTTCACTAAATTCCAACTCCCCCCCTCTCTTCACATTTATTTATTTATAGTTATTCATAAGAAACTATTACACGTATACTCGTATAATGATTTATTGCCGCCCAAATAAAAACAAAATGGGTGTAATTGTATTTTAATATAACATTAAATACGAAAGAGTACACAAACAAAAGAAGACAAAAGTCCATATACTTAAAAAAAAAAATTATACGAAAATGGTCAAACCGCATCTAAGCCAGCGGATAGAAGATGCCAATGGAATTGGAAATACAGATAGCTTAGACTCCATGTGTGATATCTCACTGTGCTCCCAACATCCCACTCTACTATTCCTTTGTCCATATGTGGTATATTACTATCACGCAACAAAAAAAAAATTAGAAAGTTTATTTTAACGCTCATAAGTCACTGGTAGAATATTTTATGAAAAGTTATAATTTAATTGTAGTTTAAATGTTAGTATCGTTAAATACCAACTATATGTTTAGCCGTCGATAATGATATTTTATGATCCAACCGTCGGTATGATACGGTTTCATAGACCATGATTTATTTATTAATTAATCTTCTTTTAACTTTAATTAAAGTAGAAATAACAATGTATACTATGCTGATTGTTTTCATTTTCATCGTTTCATCTCAAATAATATCAATTTTTACTAGTATTACAGTGAGAAAAAATGTATAAGTTAGCCAAAAAATATTTATAATTAATTTTGTATAGTAGTTTTGTATTCCTGTATCTGTATGTAAATGTTTCTACTCTAAAGGTGCATTGTATTTGAATACGTACCTGGCCTCTTTTTTCTTCTGACACATTCTTCCTATCATTTCACTAAATTATTGTTATTGTATTGTGTATTCATTCTTCCACTCTCTATCTAGCTAGCTTTTCTTAGGATAAGTTCTCATGTTCTTTGTGGCAGGCTTAAAAAAAAATTGGGGGAAAATAAAGTCCGATTTCTATACGGATTCATGGAATTTTTCACTTCTTTTATGCCGTCCCACCACTTTTTGTCGTCTTGGTCTAAGGATCAAAACCGATGAGTCCAATGGTTTCGCCCAGCCCTACATTAAATCCACGAGCGTCCACAGCCGCTTTCCATGGCCCACGGGAACCCCTTAAATAAGGCGTCCTCAAAAGTGAGTTGCTCAATAGGTCAGGTTGAGTTGGTTTTGTCAAACTTAAATTTATGGGTACATTTACAAAAAGAATTATGATAAAATTTATTGGGTTTGAAAAACTCAAATCGAACCCAACCTGCAGGATATCCGCGGGTTTATGGATACCCATTCAACTCTATTATATGTTCACCCGGTATCACTTAAGTTTACTGTTAACTGCATTTCGTCAAAGTTGACAGAATATTCTTGAAATATTCAGTTTTTCTAAATTTCATAATTGGTCATTCTACTTTTCTTATTGTAAAAAAAAAAATTGTTTCGACTTATGAAAAACATTATTTTTTATTGTTTAGTTGGAATCCTCTTTTTTTATAAGGGTGAATTTATTGGAAAAACGAAATTGAAAAGGGAAAGAAGTTCAAGCCAATCAGATCGCCAGCAGTGATCCGAAAGGCCCAGAAACAAGGGGGAAAAAGAGTTCCAAACGAGACAACCCGAAGAACAAACGACAAGAAAGGAAAAATGAGGAAAAACAGAAGAAACCACACCAGCAAACCAACTCGTCACCACCCACCAACACATTCAGGTAATAACAGATTGGCAGGCTCGAGTAATGATCTCATCCATAAAACACGATTCTGAGAACTAATAACATCATAAGCAGAACACCAATTCAATAGGGTCTTCCCAATTTTGACAGCAATCATCTTCCCCTATTTCATCTTGTCTTTGAACGTTCTGGCATTCCTTTCTTTCCAAATCTCCCAGCAAAGAGCATGAAGCAACCTGTTTCGG